GAGTCTGCTCCACCATTTGATCATGGTTGATATATTTCTCAACCCCAATTCTCCTGCCTTCTACCTGCAACCCTTGATCCCCTTACTAGTTAACAACTATCTATATCTGTCTTAAATGAATTCAATAACTTGGCCTCCACAGCCTTCTGTGTCAATGAGTTCCAGAGATTCGCCATCCTGTGGCTGATGAAATTTCTCCTATTTTCAGTTCGAAAGGGTCGTCCCTTCAATCTAAGGCTGTGCCATTGGTTTCTAGTCTCTCCTTCCAGTGGAAACATCTTCTCCTCATCCACTCTATCCAGTGCTCTCAGTATTCTGTAAGTTTCAATCAGTTAGTTCCACATCCTCCTAAACTCCATCAAGTGCAGACCCAGATTCCTCAACTGCTCATATGACCAGCCCTTTATCCTGCAGATAATTATTTTAAACCTCCTTTGGATTGTTTTCAATGCTAGCACATTTTTCCTTAGATATGGAGCCTAAAACTGCTGAAATTATTCCAAATGATATCCGACCAGAGCCTTGTATGGCCTCAGCAGTACATTTCTGCTCTCTACCCTAGCCCTCTTGAAATGAATGCTGACATTGCATTTGCCTTAACTGCTGACTGAATCTGGATTATTCCATTTGCCACTTTTCCCCCTCTGTTAGTCTGCTCCACTCCTTCTGCAGTCTCCCTGCTTCCTCAACACAACCTGTCCGTCCACCTAGCTTTGGTCATCTCAAAACTTAGTAAGAATGTCCTCAGTTCCTTCGTCCAGATCATTAATCTATAATATGAATAGTTGTGGTCCCAACAGTGACCCCTGTGGAACTCCAATAGTCACCGTCTGCCATCCTGAAAAAGACCCCTTTATCTCCACTTTCTGCCTTCTGCCAGTCAGCCAATCCTTTATCCATGCCAGTGTCTTGTCCCTAACACCATGAGCTGGTATCTTATTTACCAGCCTCCTGTGCAGCACCTTGTCACAGGCCTTTTGGAAATCCAGGCAGATCATGTCTACTGGCTCTCCTTTGTCAACTTGCTTGTTACGTCCTCAAAAAATTCTAAAAGATTTGTCAGCCATGACATCATCTTGATGAAGCTGTGCTGACTCAGCCCTATTTTACCGTGCATTTCCAAGTACTGTACAATGTCATCCTTAATAATGGACAGCAAAATATTACCAATAACCAAGGTCAGGTTCACCAGCCTATAATTTCCTGCCTTCTTCCACCCTCCCTTCTTAAACAGGCACGTTACATTAGTTATTTTCCAGTCCTCGGGGACCCTCCCTGACTCCAGAAAGATCAGTACCAATGCCTCTACAATCTCCTCAGCTCTCTCATAGAATTCCTACAGTGTGGAAACAGGCCCTTCGGCCTAACAAGTCCACACCGACCCTCAGAGCATCCCACCCAAACCCATCCCCCTATAACTCACCTCATCTACATATTCCTGAACACTGCAGGCAATTTAGCATGGCCAATCTACCCAGCCGGCACATCTTTGGACTTTGGGAGGAAACCAGAGCACCCGGAGGAAACCCACACAGACATGGGGAGAATGTGCAACTCCACACAGACAGTCACCCGAGGGTGGAATTGAACCCTCAACCTGGTGCTGTGAGGCAGCAGTGCTAACCACTGAGCCACTGTGCTGCTCCCTTTGGGAGTCTTGGGTGTAGCCCATCTGGTGCAATGAATTTATCCACCTTGAGACCTTTCAGCTTCTCCAGCATCTTCTGTTTAGTGATGGCCACTACACTCACGTCTGCCTCTGACTCTTTTGAAGTTCTGGTATGTTACTGGTGTCTTCCACTGTTAAGTCTGATGCAAAGTATCTACTCAATTCCTCCACCATTTCTCTGTTCCCAGTACAATGTCTCACTTTTTATATATCTAAAAACACTCTTGCAATCTTCTTTTATATTACTGGCTAGCTTACTCCCCAGTTAATGCTCCTTCAGTTATCCTCTGCTAATTTTTGAAGTCTCCCCAGTCCTATGGCGCTCCACTAATTTTCACAACATTGTACGCTTTTTCTTTTGATCTTGGTTTTCTGCTGGCCCTAACTTCCCTTGTCAGCCATGGTTGTCTGGTGGACTTCTCATGGAATTAATTTCTGTGAAGTGTAATTTAACCTATTGATAGAAATTTCAGCTTTAGCAGAGCCAACATGAACACAACATACCCTCCTAGCTGAAATGCTATTAAGTTGAATTTATTCTGGTAACTATTTCTACTGAATATGCACGAGCTGTGGTTCACTATCTTTTATCTTTCGCTGTTATTCATGTCATTCCAAATTTCCCTTTGGATGTTGAGGGCCAAGATGTAAACGGCTTGTTTTTCTGTTACTCCATAGGAAGGATGAAACCTCAATCATATTCATACAGATAAACAAGCCCAAAGCAGATAAATATCAACATTGAGCATTATAGGGTAAAGTCACCGTTACCAGAGAGGGACACCTGGTAGTGGCTTAACCTTGGGGTCACCGTGCTTCAGGTCAGGAGAGGGGTTGAGAAGGAGAAAGCCTGAGTTGGTGCAGGAATTGAACACACACTGTTGGCGTCACTCTGCGTCACAAACCAGCTCTTCAACCAACCGAGCTAAACCCATCCCCAATTAGGGACTACGACACACTCATAAAAACAAATCCGTGCTCCATATCACATATTGCAACAGTACTCTGTAGTAAAGTGCTAAAAGTAGGAACCACAGGGGAGTTTGCTTAAGTTATATGAAGCTGCCCTTTATTCCAAAGCCTGCCAATTCTAGCAGTGTAATGCCAGGACTGCTCAATTAAGCCTACGGAAGACTGATACTGCAAATTAGATGAGTTTGATGAAAATAAACTTGGTGAAAATGGGCAGAATTTCAGTTACAGGCAACTCCATCATCTTTTTTGTTGAATAAAGATTGGGCATGTTACATTATCTCTGCCCATTGGCATTCATTTTGCTTCTGATAATGAATGGTCTTGGCCCAGTTTATACCAGAGTTTATGGCCTGTAATCCATCAGCATGGATATGTTTATGCATATAAATTGTAGTTGATGTGTGTGTTATGCAGGCAATTTAGTACTGATTCTGTTGTAACAGAGTTAAATATTCTGATCCCTGTGGTACCTTCATTTTAATTGGTAAAACTAATCAATATTTTCTTATTCAGACTCCTGACTTGAAGTGTGGCTTGTTTGGCAACAAGTTGTTATAATTTGATTGGTTCATAATGCATTGCACAAAGGATACTTTCAGGTGCATTATCTGAAATCTGAAAACCTTGGGACTGGGCCCATGCCAGATCTTGCTGTTTGGGGTAAAATCAGGTTCAGAAGACTGGGCTAAGTTGGTTCTGGTGGGATCAAGGGTCACTTGGCACAAGGGAAAAGACTGGCATACAAAGCCAGTAACTAATCTGGCATGTCAATGCAGCGCCTAGTGCAGCAAGCAACCAAGTTATTTTACAAAGTTACATATGACAAATTGTAAAAGTGTCCAGTTTTCAAATACCTCTGCTTTTCAGATTTAAGACACAACGTGTATTATGTACTGTAAACAGAAAATATACATATATTCAACTCTGAGGAGGAGTTATTGACCTGAAACATTTACTTTGTTATCCTCTCCATTGATGATGCCTGATCTGCTGAGCATTTCCAGCTCTTTGTTCTTATTTCAGATATAGTGTGATGCCTTTGTACTTGCAGTACATAGCATGCCTAGTCTAATACATATCCAAAAGATAACACCCCTGACAGTGCAAAACTTAGTATTGCATCCATTGGTCATCCGAGATTTTGTGTTCAAGTGTCTGGAACAGCACTTGGAAACATAACCTTCTCACTCACGTGGAAGGTCTGCCAACTTTGCCACAGCTATTTGCCATTTCTACAACTTTGTCCGTTATTCTGTGAAAATGATCAAGGATTGACTTTTAGTTTTGATACATTTCAATATCTATTTATTTCATGGTAATGCCTTACTATTCTTAAAGTTGAACATACACATGAAGGCATTGTGCAAATTGTGCTGGCCATGGTCAGTATTCAGCAGTAAAACCCACTAACCCACTAACACCCACGCCAAACAGGCTTTTGGAGATCCTGAACACTTCAATTAAAAACAGCCAAAAGAACTGCGGTTGCTGTAAATCAGAGACAGTTGTGAGGAAGGGTCTCTCGACCCGAAACATGAACTCCGATTTCTCTCCAAAGATGTTGCCAGACCTGCTGAGCTGTTCCAGCAATTTCTATTTTTGACTTCACTTAAAATGTTTGTGTCTGTTAAATAATATTTCAGTAGTTTTATTTGTATTATTGTGAAATAGCCGTTTTAAAATTTGATTCTGTTTCAAGTCTTATTTTGGCTATTGGAAATTTAAGTTATTACAAGCAATGGAAGTCAAGTTTTTCTAAATTATGTTTTGTGGTTGGATTATATTTTTCTCCCCTTTTTTGAGTTGCTGTCTTATTGATAAATTTTTCAAATTGATCATTCATGATTGATTGTGTTTATAAGCCTATCAAAATTTTTCATAGCTATTTTCTACCAAGTTCCATTGTGTTCAATTTGAAGTTCACAATCCCACCATTTCCTTCTTTGTTTCAGGTCTTTCTTTCATCCCTGATCCTTAAATACTGTGGCTTATTGTAATTGCTTTACAATGACCCTATTTGTTCCACTTTTACTATTAGCCAAACAATAATGCATACCCAAATGTTGACCCCTAGAACATGATTGAAATTTCACAAGAAGTATGGTCTGACTACTATATCCAGGAAATGTGCACATAGAAGATTTAATATTTCAGGCATATGAAAATGTGTTCTTTGTAGCAGGGTCACCATTAAGATGCCACTGGAGTAGTTGCACATCACTGTAAGATAGTCTTATTTTTAATTATATTGACTTTGAGTCTCTACTTTCAAGGATTTTTTGCCATTGCTATTTTGAATGAATCATGAATTGTGCAACTTTTGTTTTGTTAATTATCATTTTCTTTATTTCTTCAGGATAATGATGTGATATACTACAATGCAAAGGATGACCTCATGAATGTAAGTATTGGTTAAACTAATAGGTTTGAATTGTGTACGATTCTCTTCAGAAATCAGTGCTAATTTTTTTCCAAAATGAGTATGTACCTGAGCTGCTGTCACTGTATTTGAAAGATGGGACCAATCTGTTTATGTATTCTGTACTATCTACTTTGTTCAAGAATAACTTTGATTTAAGCAAGAAATGCAATTTTTAAAATCAACAACAATAACACCAAATAAAAAGTCTCAACATTCAAAGTATGCTTTAGTGAAATTATTGACGGCCCTTGCATATCACAAAAGGTTCTGATGCTAGTAGAAATAAAGAGTGATGCAGCTTATTTTTGGGGAGCTGACATGAACTTAAGGTTTTTTTAGGTTTAGGTTTCCTGCCATTGGTTAATTGTTGGAAAAACCTGTCTGGTTCACTTATGTCCTTCTGAGTAGGAAATCTACCATTCTCACCAGGTTTGGCCTACATGTGACTCCAGAGCCACAGCAATGTGGTTGGCTCTCAACTGCGTTCTGAAATGGCCTAGAGCCACTCAGTTTATCAATTGCTACAAAGAAATGAAACTGGATAGAGCACCTGGCATTGACTGAGGCACCAGAAAAGACAACAAAAGTAGGCCTGTTGATCCTGCCAAGTCCTCCTTCCTAAAATCTGAGGGCCAGTGCTAAAATTGGGAGAGCTGTCTCACAGACTAGTCAAGCAACAGCCTGATATAGTCATTTTCACAGAATCATACCTTATAGATAATGTTCAAGATACCACCATCACCATCCCTGGATATGTCCTGTCCCACTGGCAGGACAGACCCAGCAGAGGTGGCAGCACAGTGGTATACTGTTGGGAGGCAATTGACCTGGGAGTACTCAACATTAACTCTGGACACCACGAAGTCTCATGGCTTTATATCAAAATTGGGCAAGGAGCCCTCCTACTAGTTGCCACATACTGACCTTCTTTTGCTGATGAATCAGAACTCTTCTGTGTTGATTAACACTTAGAGGAAGCACTGAGTTTGACAAGCGCACAAAATATATTCTAGGTGGGGGATTTCAATGTCCACCACAAAGGTTGGATCCTAAAGGACAAAGCCGCTAGACTGGGTCAGTGGCAGGCGGTGAGGGAACAGCAAGATGGAAAAACTTGACTTCATCCTTACCAATCTGCCAGTTGCAGCTGTATCTGTCCATGATAGTATAGGTAAGAGTGACACAGTCCTTGTGGAGACAAAGTCCCGCCTTCACATTGAGAATGACCTGCAGCGTATTGCGTGGCAATATCACTGTGCTAAATGGGACAGACTACAAACTGATCTAGCAAGTCAAGACTAGGCATCAATAAGACATTGTGGGCCATCAACAGTAACAGAATTGTACTCCAGTACAATCTGAAACTTCGTGACCCAGCATATCCCTGACTCAACCATTGTCATTAAGACAGGGGTTCAGTGGAGAGTGCAGGAGCAGCACCAGCCAAACTGAAAAATGGGGTGTGAATCTGGTGAAACAGGATTACTTGCATGTCAAACAGCACCAGCAGCAAGCAGTAGACAGACCCGTGGACAGACATAAGCTCTGCATTCCTGCCACATCCAGTCGGGAATAGTAGTGGACAATTAAACAACTCACTGGAGGAGGAGGCTCTGAAATTATCTCCAACCTCAATGATGGAAGAGCCCAACACATCAGTGCAAAAGACAAGGCTGAAACATTTACAGGAATCTTCAGTCAGAAGTGTTGAGTGAATGATCCATCTCGGCCTCCTCCAGTGGTCTCTAGCATCACAGATAATAGTCTTTAGCCAATTTGATTTGCTTCACGTGATATCAATAAACATTGGAGGGAGTGGATACTGCAAAGATGGAGCGGGCCCGACAACATTCCGATAATAATACTGAAGACTTTGCTCCAGAACATACCGCTCCCCTAACCAACTCCTTCGCGTACAGTTACAACACTGTTATCTAACTGACCATGTGTAAAATGGCCCAGGTATGTCCTGTACACAAAAACCACATAAATCTAACCTAGCCAATTACCACCCCAACAGTCTACACTCAATCATTAGTGAAGTGATAGAAGGTGCCATCAACAGTGCTATCAAGCAGCACCTACGTACCAATAACCTGCTCAGTTATGCCAAGTTTGGTTTCCGCCAGGGCCACTCAGCTCCTGAGCACATTGTAGCCTTGGTTCAAATATGGACAAAAAGAGCCAAATTTCAGACTTGAGGGAGTGACAGCCCTTGACATCAAGGCTGCATTCGACTGAGTGTGGCATCAAGGAACCGTAGCAAAACTGGAATCAATGGGTATCAGGGGCAAATCCACTGTGGTCAAAGTCATACCTGGCATATAGGAAGATGGTTGTTGTTGTTGGAGGTCAATCATTTCAGCTCCAGGACACCTCTGCAGGAGTTCCTCAGGATAGTGTCCTAGGCCCAAGTATCTTCAGCTGCTTCATCAATGACCTTCCCCCCATCAATAAGTCAGAAATGGGGATGTTCGCTGATGATTGCACAATGCTCAACACCATTCATGGCTTCTCACATACTGAAGCAGTCCAATGCAACAAGATCTGGACAATATCCAGGCTTGGATTGACAAGTGGCGAGGAATATTCATGCCACACAAATGTCAGGTAATGACAGTCAGAGACAATCTTACCACCAGCCCTTGACATTCAATGGTGTTACCATACAAATCCCTTCCTATCAATATCCTGGGGATTATGATTGACCAGAAACTCAACTGGACCACCGTATAAACATCGCGTCTACAAGAGCAGGTCAGATACTAGGAATACTGCAGCGAGTAACTCATCTCCTGACTCTCCAAAGCCTGTCCACCATTTACGAGGCACAAGTCAGGAGTGTGATGGAATACACCTTACTTGCCTGGATGGATGCAGCTCTGACAACATTCAAAGAGCTTGACATGATCCTGGACAAATCAGCCAACTTGATTGCCACCATTTCCACAAGCATCCACTCCACCACTACTGATGTTCAGTAACAGCAGTGTGTACTAGCTACAAGATACACTGTGCACCTACTTCCTTCTAGAAGCGTAAGGGCAGCAGATACATGGGAATACCACCACCTTCAAGATCCCCTGCAAGCCACTCACCTTCCTGACTTGGAAGTATATTACCATTCCTTCATTTTGGCCGTGTCAAAATCCTGGAATTCCCTTCCCAAGGGCATTGTGGGTATACCTACAACACGTGGACTGCTGCGGTTCAAGAAAGCAGCTCACCACCCTTTCTCAAGGTCAACTAGGGATGGGCAATAAACACTGGCCAGCCAGGGACACACACGTTCCATGAGTAAATAAAAAAAAAGTGCTGGTTCAAAATGAAGTTTGGAGTTTTCATTGCAGTGGGGAGAAGCCATTTTTCAAGTCTTCAGTTCCAACATTTTTGAGCATTTTAAAAAAAAATATTGCCATTGAGACCTTCATTGTATTTTATCCCTCATTGCATGCTCAAACATTGCTGTGAACAAAGTCATTAATTTGAAACTTTAATTTTCAACTTTTGAAAATGAAGTCTACGCTGTGAATTCCTCTGGCCCACATTATTTATGAGAATTTCCATTAGTTGATGCCCATTTTTTACACCTCAACCTACAGAAATGTGATTGGCTGCAAAGTGGATGTAAATGGACTTTGACAAAATGGGCATCCAACAGGAATTGCACTCCAGAGTATGAATTCAGTTTGATGTATTGAGCTCCTTGTTGTTAAGGGAGAGAAACATGTCCTTAATCTATGATACCTATGTGATGAACCCTTTAAGAACTCCATGTTTAATTCATTAGTAACAATATTCATTATTACAGGTTTTAAAGCAAGACGAAGGAGTCACAAGGTTCCAGGTTATGTGGATTATTTATTAGATCCTAGATTTACTGAATTTAGATTACAGTTAGCTTTAGAGCTGTTATAAATACAACAACCTGCAGTTTTTTTTTAAAAACAATTTAATTCTGAAGTGTCCCCCCAAATAATTTTGAAAGAGCTGCTTTCCTTTCTTTATGGATGTTCTTTGCTCCATCCTGGAGGTGCAGCATTGCTAAGAATATGGTCCCATGGTTATCACAATCCTTCCATCATGTCACTCCAATGCCCAATCTTCACTTGCAGTGAGTTGCAGCAAACTATTTGTCTGTTGACATCATCACATCAGAGCTTCGATTCTGCCGGGTAAAGTGTATTCACAGAGTGGTAAGCCCGAAAACTTTACCTGCCCCTTGTGCTGCCTGTGAAGTGGGATCAGGTTAGGCATCAGCTGGAATGTTTCAAATTCAGGTTAAACCCATAGGAGAACATTTCTGTCTTTTTATTTGGCACATTGTTTGGCAATTAAAATATTGGTTTGCCAGCAATGCCAAAGTAAGGAATGCAGGGCATTTAAAAAAGAAGGAACAATCCTATTCAAATTGAGATTTGTGCAAATGTTCATTTTGCATAACTGGGAACCTGTACTAACACCATCAGAGAAATCTAAACATTATGAATGCAGTAATTTCAAAGATTTAGAAATCCTTCCTTTCCATATTTGAATGAGGACTGTTCTGGGGAGGAAACTTAGAATTAATGGAAAAAAAAAACTGAGAGGTCTTGACGTTTTCAGGAAAACAACTTTACAGATTTCAATGTTCTTTGTGATTTGAACCACTTGGCTGCAATTTTTTAAATGTTTTATTCATATCAATTTGATGGTTTAATACAAAGAACTCTTGTTTTCTAACATGTTTGTGCTTTTATCATTTTGGAAAACAATATTCTGTTAGTATTGTAATTTTTATCAGCAGAACAATCTATGGTTTTGTCATTTTTTAAAATACTCCAATCCTGACACAGGATGTGTCGACTTTTTTGTTGGAATACTGTACTGCCGTATTTAGGTTCCAGCTTTTCTATTCATGTGCCTTACAGCTTCCGCTGGTAAAGGACTAAAGACAGCTACAACCTTTTACATAATTCAACTTCACAGAAATACAGTGTTTCTCCAAGTAGAAAGCGCTGAAGAGAGAGATCGAGGAATGAATAGCAGCTTTGGGCAAATTCCCAACTACATTTTAGTGTTTCTTATCATTATGGAGACCCCATATCGCGACAAAATATTTTTTTTCTGAAGTGAGAGCCATCATTAAACAAGTGGATTTCAACAAACTGTACATTCCCTTTAAAAACAAACTTCTTTCTTGTACGTGCATTTTAACTTTCTGTGGTTTGTGCATAAAGGCAACTAGGTCTTTCTGAATGCCAACATTTCCAATCTCTTGGCATTTAAAAATATTCAGCTTTCTATTTTCCCAACCGAAAAGGATAAATTCTCACCTTTTCATGGCTGCCAGAATCAACGTTCACCTAAATTGTCTTTCTCTCTTTGTTACCTCTGTGCATCCTTCTCACAACTTCCCTTCTCAACTAACAGTACCTAGCAACTGAACTGAATAGATTACACTAAGTCCCCTCATTAAGTCATTAATATGGATTGTACATTGCTGAGGCCCAGCACTGATACTTGTAGCATCCCATTAATTGCAGCTTGCTTACCTGACAATCCCATTAAATACATTCACCAATCTCTATTACATTCCCAATCCCAGTATGAATCTTTGCCCACTACTTTATCCAGTTTCAGCACAACTGGTTACTTTGAGAACCTCCGTGTTATTTCTGTTGGTAAAAATTACAAATTATAGCTGATTCTTTATTTATATGGTAGGCTTCTTTCTGACATAATCCAAGAATCCAGAAGTTTGCTATTTTGGAGGTCAGCACAAAATGATCCCCTTTTTGGAATTTTTTTCATTACTTTCAAAATGTAAGAATAAAAGTGCAACCATGTTTGTATATTTGCAAACTTTTAGCTTGTTCTAAAATTTTCAGTTTGTAGCTTATTGGCTTAAAAATCCCTTCTATGTTGGTTTTTAAGCATTGTTACTGACCAAGCAACAGGATGTAATGTGTCTAATATTCATGAGTAAATGACCCTCATATAGAAAGATAATTCAGACATTAATAATCTCATTTAATGATCACATTGCAGCTTTGAGTCTTTATAATTCAATAATCATTCACAAGAAACAAGACTCTGTCAGTGCGTTGGAGTTCTCAAATGTTCACAGTTTGATTTTTCTTCCTCCTAAAGTCTGACAGAAATGAAAGCCGCCCAAGGATCAAACCGGATTTTCAGTTCAACCAAGCCTTCCGACGCCGTGTGGACTTCAACCACACAGCTGTCCACATCCCCACTGACATCTATGAGGGCTGTAAGTATCTTCTCTTTGTGTTCTGTAACATATGTTCAAAAGAACCAAATTCTCTTTGATACATAGAATCCCTACAATGTGGAAAGCAGGCCATTCAGCTCATCAAGTCCACACTGACCTTCCACAGACCATCCCACCCAGCACCCAGACCCACGCCCCCCACCCCTGCTTCCCTGTAAACCTGAATTTCTCATGGCTAATTTACCTAGCCTGCACATCCCTGGACATTGTGGGCAATTTAAAACGGCCAATCTCCCTCACCTGCTCATCTTTGGACTGTAGAAGGAAACCCATGCAGACACAGGAGAATGTCTTCACAGATAGTTGCTGAAGGGTGAAATCGACCCTGAGTTTCTGGCACTATGAGCCAGCAGTGCTAACCACTGAACCAGTGTACCATCTACATGAATATATGAATCCTATGCTTGAGCAGTTTCCGTTGAAGATGGCAGGTACAACGTACAGTGTGTGATGCATCACCGGAAGGCTATGATGAAACAAGAGAAACAGGATTTTCATTCAAGTTTACCATTCAATTAGGAATAACTTTGTTGCATGGATTTTGGAGTATATTTATTCAAGAAAATTCTCCTGCCTTAGAAACTTAGGGTTTGGTTACTTATTTAGATTGTGACAACTGTCCAGGTTCTAAAGGAAACTGAGCCGAGCTTTAAAACTCGTGATATAGATCAGCAGAGTAGTTCTATTGATGGTGTCTAAAATGATGCAGATAGTCATCTTAAACATATTCACTGTTGTATGCTTTGCCATTTATATGAACTTATGGTATTTAAAGCAGATCAATTACTCTGCACTGTAAGATGATGATTCCCTGAAATGTGCACTTCTTACGACGTTGTGCAGTAATTTCTTTTTCAAATGGAATACATGCTATTCATTAGACTTTGGTAATGAGAAACTTATCTAATATCTATTTAGTCAACTTGTGTCTATAAAAATTTCTACTTAATACACATGTTTGCCTTCTCTGCAAGGCAAGTAATACTTGAAGAATGCCTAATTGGAGATAAATATCTTCATGCCATCTTCATTGTGCAGTATAGACTGCTGGTTGCTAGGCATTGCAATCTGAAAGAGATGCATCTTTGCATCTTTAAGGATTGTGTCAAACTTCATTCAGCATTTCTAAACTGTGGATCTCAATCCATACGTAAATGTAAAAGTATTGCACCATCATTCTTATCCTGCTCAGATTGGAAGTTACAGTGTCCAAATATTTGATTGTAAAATGCATTATATGTGCCACTTGCTGTGGTGTGAATTGAGAATGTTACCCCAGGGTGTAATAATATATTTGTACAGAGACTTGCTTCCATTGTAATGAATACATTAACCAGGCTCTTAGTACAGCTGTGCAGTGAAAAAATCCTGTTTTTCTCTTGTTTTTGCGCCACTGAGTTTGATTTTATATTGCGACTAAAGCATAAAGAATATTTTCTGATCAGTAGTCCAAAGCTTTTTGATCTTTTCCAAGTATCTCGCAATAATCTTTGTCTTTGTACATATGTGTTCCAACATTGTTTGTTGCCAGCTTCAAAATTATTTATAGAGGAATGAAAAGTCATGTCTGAGGACGGATTACACTTATGCTTTATTAATCAGTCATTCTCAAGATAAATAATTAAATATTCCATTGTGGAAACAATTTTCAATCCAGTTCACTCTTTGCATGTTAATTATATAACTCTGCTTTTCTGCAAGGAGTCAATAGTGTGGTCTGCACTCCCTTTATGATGTGACTGTGCCTACACATGGCCTGATATACTCTGATGTCAGTTACAGAACCCAGAAACACCTTAGGCATTTGGAGTGGCTGTGTAAGTTGTGTGATAACCTTAATAAAGTCCTAATTCTCGTGAAAGTGAGGAGAAACCCTCATGTAGTCAAAACCTAAGAATACCAAAGAATGGCTGGGCCATGCTCCATCAGCTTTACACCCATATAAAATGGAAAATACAAGGAAGCCCCTTTTTACCTCTATTCGATCCTTGCTCTTAAAGGTGTTCTGCCCTTTCTAAATATTTTGGCTTGAAAGTCTTTTTTCAGAGCTATATTACTATTGGCCAAAGAAAATGTCTATTATTTATTCTTTTGCAGTGTGTGGATATCTCAGGCAACTCTAGTGCCAGTTGTCTGTTCTATTTTTCATTGAACTGATTTGTTTGCTAGGCCATTTCAGAAGCCAGTTGCTGTGGATATGGAGTCACGTGTAGGCCAGGTACAGAGGGTAGATTTCCTTCCCTAGCAGATATTAGTGAACTGCATGGGTTGTTACAATAACTGAAAGTAGATGCTCGGTCTACCTTATTAAGGCAGACGTTCAACTCCGGGTTTTATTAATTGAACGTAAATTCCATCAAAAGCCCTGTAGGGATTTGAACCTATGTCTGAAGGACTGGGATCTCTGGATTACTAATTCAGTGACATTACCACTAGGTCTCATCTTCCTGATGTCTGCTGTGACCTTCCTCAACCAGTAGTACTTCTGAAATCTTTGCCTGTTTGTCCAATGAATGGTATTCTTTTGCTAAAATTGCAACTAAAAATTGATATTGTTAATTGTCTCCATTAAGGCTTCGAATCTATTGGATTAGAGCATTCATTCAATAATGACTTGTGCACAGATAAAGTTAATTTGACTTTCCACAACTGGTGGGCACCACAGAGGCTGTATTATATATTATGTCCCTTCATAACTCTGTTAATTCATGTTTTGAAAGCTTCATTTAAACATTTGATTTTTATTAAGGTGCTCTCAAAATGTTAGTTTGATTTTCATCTTCATTTTTTTTTACAGAACTGTAATCTCTCATTTCTCTATGATGCTTCTCGTTTCCTAACTTGCTTGGTTTCTCTACTCACACCCTTTTTTGAAGAAAAGAATACTTTGCCTAATCCTCTGTTTGGTTTCATTTTCAACTCTATCTCCTCTCTCCCACCTCAACTTCTGACATACGGAACAGTTTGCATTCTGTAGTTGCCTTGACTTCTCTGACCTTAGTAGAGGTGATTGTGTGGGAATTTACTGCAATGGCATTATTGGTAACAATTGCCATAAACAATTCTGTTGTTTGCCCCAATTCCTCTGGGCCAATCTAAAGTTAAATTTTGCTGGGAAGCCCATTGTTGTATAGCACAGTGACATTGGACACAGTCAAGTGAGCTTCGAAGTGATGCTATATTCGGAAGTAGGCGAGGCGTTTGGATGCATCAGTTTCATTAGGCCAGTACATGATTGCTCATATTATGATTTCCTTAGAGAACTGATGACTTTCCATAAGAGATTTGAGTTTCCAGTGGCTGGCTTGAAGAATCATACAGCAACATTTCAAATTTTAAGACTTTGATAATAATAAACAAACAAAAAGCATTGCTGGAGCACTAAGTAAAAACCGAAAAACCTGTGGATGCTGTAAATCAGAAACAAAAACAGAACTTGCTGATAAATGTTAGCAGGTCTGGCAGCATCTGTGGAGAGAAATGAGAGTTTCAGGTTGAGTGACCCTTCCACAGAACTGAGTTTTGGTTATTTCAAGTATTAACTGAGGACTTACTTTTCTGTGGTTTAGGGTACATGTTGACTGAACAGTGTTTCAACAGTAAGAAAAACAAAAATTGCTGGAAAAGCTCAGCAGGTCTGGCAGTTCTGAGGAAGTGTCACTCGACCCGAAATGTTACTCTGATTTCACTCCACAGGTGCTGCCAGACCTGCTGAGCTTTTCCAGCAATTTCTGTTTTTGTTATTGTTGAAACACTGTTCAGTCAACTTGTACTCTAAACCACTGAAAAAAATGTCCTCGGTTAATATTTGAAATAGCCAAAACTCCCTCTCAACAGTTTTACTTTGTCCCTTAGGTTGACATCTTATACTCCAGGATTAAGTCCAAAGATGTTTATAGCCCGGGATGGTATGCTTCCATTATCTTCTTTACCTGACTAACAACATCAATTCCTTGAACTGACTTACACTGTGAGGCTTACCATACAGGTCCCTCCCTCTATGAAAGAGACTGCCCCAATTTTTCTGCTGTTTCGCTCTGACAGATTCTTGCAGGCTGACCTGGTTTGAGGTTTAGAGAAATCTTAAGAAAAACCGCTGTTACCCATACTTGAATGACTTGCTCAAATAATCTCCTCTCAAAACCCAGTTCCATGATGACATGAATCCTAAGGGCCTTGCACCCAGGTCGAAACACCACTTAGCTACCCCCTCGACTCCCCCAGTGCAATATTTTTTGGAATTAGAAAAATAGTTTGCAGTACAATCATTTAGAAAACCTGACATTCTTAAAACCTCCTGGTGACTTGGAGATTAAAGGTAGAATCTTCCCAAACCCTTAATGACGTGGCATATTGCATGGATTGTGTGACAGGCTGGTGGTCTGTTCCAGGAAACCACGCTGTGGAAACAGACAAAAAGCATGTGGATTCTCTGTCTCATAGGCTATTAGTTATGGGAAGGGAACCAATGAAGGAAGCTTTATAAATGAAATTTATTCTTTCTGTAGTTAAGGCAAACTGTAAAGAAGTTGCAGCCATTCTCTCAATTCAGATATTCAAGAGTTCAATAGCTTTATGCTGGTCCTCCAGGCAGGGACTTGAAGATGGAAGCAATAAATGCGTGAATTGTGTGACAAACAGGAATACTTTAGATTTTGCCCTCAGAAACTCTTGTGTCTGTATCTCTACTTTGTTAAATATTTTGCAAATGGTATGCAGCTCGAGCCCATTAATATTACTTCCTGTTGTCACAATTTTTGGTTGGCATTTTATGCCAACACTGCTCATTATATTTTACCATTATCCATCTGTTCTGTTTATATGGAAAGTAGCTGGCTTGATCTCACTGTAATTGTGATTGCCATTAGTAATGAGGAAAACTAATTTTCTAGCATTACAGCTGCTGTTTCCCAATGGAAATATGAGATGAGAGTTGGTAAATAGCAAACAGTTTCCCAAAGTATAATTTTCAAAAAGTT